GTGTTTTTAGCTCGTCGATCAAATATATCTTAAGTGGATGAATAGATGGCTAGTTAAAATATACTAACACTGATCACCTCACGGCTAACGCATCACAAAAAAAAAAACAGATTTTGTATCGGACTTTGACAAAAATCACGGTGTGCCGTGCCGTGTCATTTTCTGATAGGATATACTAACTTCGCGCGCTGTGATTGGTTTAACAATACGTTACTGTGTTACTACTAGCTACTTAACTGTGTCGTAGTCATTATTCCTCGTTTAATGATATTTTATGATTGTTTTCATACTGCATATATACTCCAGTTATTTAATGTTCGCGAAATCAATCAAAATCTTTGTTGTCTGGGTGGTCAGTTGAAATGGTAAGAACTGGAGAGCTTCCTCAGGACGCGATCACGATATTTTGTATTTAACAATAGGTTGTTTCGAGTATTTTCAGTTTTTTAATTTGTACTCGCTATACTACGTGCCACAAACAATTTTTAGATTAAGGTTTCTTGTGATATAGCCTCGTTGAAATGATTAAAGAGACAAGACTTTGACTAACGCGTTAGCTGTGCATGAGGGATTAAAAGTCTGCAATCACCCGTTTTCAGACTCTTGTGTTATCCAATGAGTAAGCACTTTACGAGAGGCTGTTTCCAAATGACAGGATGTGAAGTCGACTGCAGCACCTAGTGAATGCTTTCTATTAGCCAGACAGCCCAAGGCTAAGATTTAAAAGCACAATAAATGGCTTGTTACGGTAGTTTATTAAAAAGGGACCTCGTAGGCAGTTTTGTTTCTCATATACTTAGTCTTTTCTGTCTCCTAGCAATGATTCATTGACGACTGCTAAAAACAATTCAAGGGTTTAGTGTTTTTAACCATAAACAATTAAAATTTGATTGCATTGAAGACTACAAAACGAAACATAAAAAAAGTGATAGAAAAGAAAAATAAATGTGGAAAGAATGAAGTAAGTTGAAATGTTCTATAAAAACATCACCCTGGGCGCACTAAACCTATAGAGACCAGAGTCCCACAAGAAACATGCAAATAGAAAACCGTAACAAAGCAATTATATAGTCATGTTTAGTAATAATACAAACACTACCAAAACACTTGAATTGATTTTCAATAACAATAACTATATTTTAAAATGAATGCTGTTTAATTGGAAAGCAAACATTTAGAGAAAGGTCTGTTAGCTTTGGTCAGGGTTGGCAGATGTTCAAAACACAAGACAATTCTAATAACCGCTTATAGGAGACATGCATACTAACCTTACCTCGAAGATTCTCTAAAGATGATGTCTTCTAGTCTTTGGTTTGAAGACAGCCCACCGGCTACAGGTCTGCTCTTGTATTAACCGTGAAGACGAGGTACTTGCAACGATATTCCGTGTAATTTACGGTCAATAACTTCAGTCAAGTTCAGATAACAAACTGACAGATCCTTGAAGATAATGACTAGCAAACTGAGGAAAAACGACTTAAGCAATAGAAAGGAAACCTGTATATTGCATCCCGTTCAATATCCAGCAGTTCTCGACTTACCGTCCGCCGACATTATCACGTCAGCTCAGCTAGGATAGGTGCATTAAGTTATTTAATCGTTCTTTGCTTGTGGTATATAGCCGCAGATAGCACTCAATTTACGCCCTTTTTTATTAATCTAACCTATTTGGCATTTAGCCCTTTTTTTCTCATTGAAGAAGACATGGTAGGAATGCGCAAATGTAGTAGGATATGACTACAGCTAGGGGCTAGGGGCATACGCAGATCGAAAACACTACAATAACAAACGCCCATATGCAGTTAATTGCCGTTGCCCAACAGGTTACTTAGCCAGGAGATTTGAGTGAAAAAATATAGCGCTTTCTAAAGACTGATTTAAACGATGCGATTTTTCCTGCCGCGAGCAACATGTTTACACCAAGTTTTAGCTGCCATTTACAGTCGTAAGCAAGTTCCGCGCGAAAGTTCTGAGGAAAAATCGTACCGTGTAAATCGGCTTTGAATAACTATAACCACTGGTATATATTGATCAGAATAGTCCACTGGCTTTAAGCCTGCCTTTAATCCCCCAACAAACCCCTGTAACAAAACTATCATCTGGCTTCAAGCCCGCGAGAAATGTATGATCAGGTCTCTACAGATATGAATGATTGTCATCTCTGGTATTGGCGCATGTATGCGCAGTTACATACTGTGTGCAGTACTTATCATGCTTGACGGAAGGGCGTTATAATACTACCATGGTGTGTATAGTGTGTGGTGCTTTGGTGGAACGTTTCTGTAATCAAAGAGAGATGAACATTAATAACTGTGCCTATCAATACTCCACCCAACCAGCCATTACCCATCCACACTATTAAGTATTACGACAAATGTACGTCATATATTAGGTGACGTCATCTTGTGTGCGCGTGACGTCATAATCTACAAGACACGCACGTGGCATAATGTAAGAGGCAAATTACTTGGTTAGGTTTCAAATTCTTTTGTCGTGGTGTCTTTTTGTTTACAATAAACTAGTCGAGGCATGATAATCAACAGAATTTTTTGTGTTAAAGAAACAGAAGAATCAGTGTTATATACTGTTTAATATCAAGTAGTCCAATATATTACATGAATCTGCATAGCATTAGATTGGTATAATACACATTGGTACCAAAATGAAGAAGTATTAAAAAATCCAAATAATTTGAAAATGTATACGTAAGAATGGATGTATCACATGCATGTACACCAACACACACTGATACAAGCAACTAGAGGTACATGTTCAATACACCAAATACATGTTTACAAGTACACCAAGACACACTGGTACAAGCAACTAGAGGTACATGTTCAATACACGTCATTCATGGCACAACAAATACATGTTTACCAGTACACCAAGACACACTGGTACAAGCAACTAGAGGTACATGTTCAATAC